AAAAGTGTTAGGTATTTTCTAATTTTACCCGTCTCAAATTCAGTGAATAGAGTTACTTGGTATATTCACCCTGGTGGGAGATAATATGTACATGATAAAATTGTCGAATTGCACACATGCTACTGGACATCATCCCAATAAAATGAAGGATTGATTACCTAGAAGATAAACCATGTCATATTGAGTAAGATTTTTGCTTGCAAAGAGTTTGATGGAATCAGAAACTGAAATTGTAGCAGCAGGAAGATTCACATTTGAAGCTAAGGAAACATCTCCATCCTTTCGTTCTGTTTCTACATCATACCATTTTCCTCCAGCCTATGACATTTTTTAATCAAAACTAACACAAATTAGAATGCATGTATATATATGTCATAAATAATATAATTTCAACGTCTCATCGTATTAAGACCACGAGTTTCAGGAATCTTTAGTGTTGTCTCAACTCCAAGGCCAATCAAATAAGTCATGAAAAAAAAAAACATTACTCTTTAGTTTGACTGGGCATGGAGTTTAAGAAACTAAATGAGATGTTTGAATCTTGTCATCTTAGATTAATGATGTGTGTAGTCCATTTAAATCTCGTGATCTTAAACTAATTGTCATATAAAATATTGAAACTGAAAAACTTGCTAAATATAGAAAGAAAAACTCTTTTTGAGACAGATTAAAAGTGCTACCATTGAAGAAATAGAGAAAATTACTAATTAATCCCGCCCATGTTTTAAATGGATGTTTTACCTAATCCATTTCAAATCTAGTCAAAGGTCTTCGAGCCTTGTTGAGAATTATTGTTTTTTTTTATTTAAAAAAAAGTGGCCCAATCCCTTCTCAACCTAGGTCAAAGGTCTTCTCACTTTTTTTTTGAATATAATTAAGTTCATTACGATTAACAAATTAGCCTCACATCATATCGATAACAATCAAAGGACTTAATTATAGTAGTAACATAGAAAATCTCAAATGATATATGGAAGTAATAATGATGAAATAAAATGAAAAATTTACCAAGACAACAGCATCTCTAGTTGCCATAGAAATAATGTCTGCACAAGAAACTAGGCCTCGACATTCTGCTTCTAAAGCTTCTTTAATAGCATCAATGAGTTCATATCCCCTAACACTTGAATTTGGGACTGCTTTTTTCTCACTGGTGAGTCCATCCAATAGAATTGATGCATCACAACCCTATTCATCATGTACATACAGCAAAAAGATTATTCAATGATAATAGAAAATTGTACCACAAATATTTCATAAAGAGCATTCTTTTTTTTGTCATAATACCAAAATTTTATGGAATTGGTTCATGAGCAAAATAAGAAAAGTCAAAAGGAAATTATCATTAAATAAGAAAATTATTTTACCCTTTATGACATAATTTATAGGCACAAAAATTGAGAAAAAGTATAAAAGTGTCTCTTATCTTTGTGTTCAGACTCAATGTTATCCTTACTTTTTCACGTGGAACATTAATAATCCTTCATACTTATCGTATTGGTGCAGTTTTGGTCCCCCCTCAAACTTGTCTTTACATTTTGAGATCGAAAGGCTCGTTATGTAAGATTTCATGTGCAACAGTACAAATAAAGGTAGATTCTTGATTTGATTAGCTACAATGATGTTTGGACTAAAAAAGATATATAGGATTTAGCCACAGACAAGTTTTATAGCTAAACAACAAAATTTATCGTTACTCTTACTCAACGATCAATTTATGTTAGCTACAAGTGAATTAGTGACGAAGTTCGCATCTAAATTCAGTTTTCTTAATAGAACACTCTTCTTCTCATCTTCCCTCCTAGAGTTCTTGTTTCTACTAAATATAGAGGAAGAACACCAAACATTCCATACTCTAAATTGTGGACAAAATTAATGTTAAAAATAGACGAAAGTTTAAGAGGACCAAAAGTGCATCAATATTACAAACAAAAGGGACAATTATATTAGTGTTCCATGTGAAAAAGGAATAAGAATGATCTATTTTGAGCCTTTTCTCCACAAAAATATCATTATAGGTTTAAAACCATGCATTCCAATATCCTTTCCTTCTTTATTAAATTTCCTTATCGAAAGCCAAAGGTCACTTAAGCTCCATTTGAAAATTTGAATTTCTAAAACTAAAATTATTTACGAAAGCAATCATAAATCTATTCTGCCCAATGAATAGCAGACAAGAGATGGATAGTCTTTTGAGTCATACCACCAAGAGGAAGATCAAGAAAATCTCTACCATCAGACTTCGAATTTGTTTCTTATTTGGAAGTTGACTACACCCCATGGAAGCTCTCTTATGATATGTGATTTTCCACATCGCCACCTGTATTGAACCTCTGATTTTTTGGAAGCAACTCTCTCAGTCTTATAGTAGTTGTCAATATTATTTAAAATACTTATTTAATTTAAGGAAAAAGGTCTGAAATATATCTAAACTTTGACCGAAATTGTTGTAACAATATCGAACTTTGGAAATGACCTTTTATCCCCCTGCACTATTTCATAGTGTATTTTAAAGGTATATATATGCCCACGTGGACATCATAAATATTGCATCATTATAAATAGTAACGTGTCCACATATATACCTTTAAAATACATTATTAAATAGTGCATGAGGTAAAAGGTCCTCCATGTCAAAGTTGAAGTATTTTTCAGACTTTTTTCCCATTAATTTATTTCAAAACATTTGTCATTTTATAAGGTAATTATTTCCCCTTATTTAATTGTTCTTGAAAATAAATATTATTATTGATTATATCCTGAGTTCAAATACATGATTATTAGTTGATGATGTTATGATTATTCAGATACCACTAAGAGTAGCTAGCTTTGTTGAGAGATGAGGATAAGATTTAAAATAAATAAATATAATAACTAATATGGAACAAAAGAAGTAACTATTATTAACCCTTCTTTTTTTCTTTTCCTTCTAATGTGAAAACGTTAAGAAAAGTCCTCTTTTTATCAACTAAACGATTTCATCAATGTGGGCATGGTGGACATGCATGGCCCAAACAGGGACACTTGGTAAAGTTGTAGAGAAGACTTGCTTAATTAATAGTCGTTTTATCATGCGATTTCATCTCATGATATAAAATTATAAGATGAAATTAATATTTAGATATGATGTTGATTTCATCTCATGAAATCTCAAAATCTCCAAAAATCATGATTTGAGATTTTCTAAATACAAAAATTGACTCTCAAGTATTTGTAAAAAAAACCTCACATTTATATCTACAAACCATTTATTTTATATTTAAATAAAATTTATAATTCTTATAGTTACTTTTAAAATATCTCATTTAATGATTATTCTCACCAACATAAAATTTATTATTATTACTTCAAATCAATTCCTACTTTACCATTTATATTCACCCATATTCACTATTTTCTTATCAAATTTATCTAAAGAGTGCACTACAACTTATGTTTATTTTTTTATTATTGAATTAAAGTTTGATCAATAAATATTTTTTTACATTAACTTTGTGATAATGTATTATGCGATTTTATAATTTTTTGTTTATTTGGTAAAATTATATAAAGAATTGGAATAATTTTAATTTTTTTACAACTTATGAGTTTTTTTATGTTTATGAGAAAACATACAATATAAAAAGTTCACAATGTATGCCAAACAACTTCAACTTAATCTCATGATTTCAAACCATGTTTTTATATCGCATGGTCAAATGTGCTCTTAATTGGAGAAAAAAGAGAACTCTTTAAAATGTTCAACTCTAACAAAGTGATGGAGCTAGCTTAAGATTTATGGGGTCACTTCATATCGTCTATATTTATTATAAGAAATTTATTAAATATTTGATTTTAAACTTAATGATTACATTTTCTTGGTTTTAGTTTAAGTGTTTTATTTTACTTTTTAATTTGTTTTAAAAATGAGTGTCTTTCTTTATATTTAATAAGTTTTTCTATCTCAATATTTTACACGACAAATTTACTACAACATATTTAAATAATTACACCCATTTTTAACCTAAGTTCACAAAACGTTATGAAAAGTCCTTTTTTCTTCTAATATGAAAACGTTAAGAAAAGTCATCTTTTATCAACAAGACAACTTTATCATTATGGACATGGTGGACATGATAAAGTTGACTTAATTAATATATACTCCCTCCGTTTCACAAAAAATGACCAGGTTTAACTTGGCACAAAGTTTAAATAAATAAAGAAGACTTTTGAATCTTGTGGTCCTAAATTAAAGTTATGTCAAATATACAAAATTGCCTTTAATCTTGTGGTCTTAAACATGCCACGTGGAAAGCAAAAAGTAAAATATTACCAAAAAAGGAAAGAGGTCATTCTTTTTGAAACTGACTAAAAAGGAAAGGAGGTCATTCTTTGTGAAACGGAGGGAGTATGACTTATGACATGAGAAGTTAAATGTAGTAAACCCCTCACACACCCAAAGAGAGACAGAAGAGACCCACACGCAGTTGCATCACAATATAGCAACTACACAGACTGTAAGGATATGAGTGGTATATACAAGCACCGCATTTTTGCTTCTCATCTTCTTTCTCTTCTCCCTTAGATCCCGCCGGTGAGTTTTCAGATCTGACCGGAAACATGATCTACCCGGAACGGAGGGAGTAAAAAAAAAAAAAAAAAACACTTTAAAGTCAAGCAGTCCACATTTATTTTCAATTATACTATACGGTTATTAATAGCTATTACTCTATATAATAGATGAGAAAAGAGGAGCTTCGGGTCAAGAGGGCATTTCCGTCATTTCCGCTGTACAACATTTATTTTGTTGCGTCTGATTTGGGAGCACAGTCATTTCACACGTGTACTTATTTGCTCTTTCTTTACGGAACTTTCTCACTTCACTTCACCTTCTCTACAGCTTTACTTTTCCTTTTCTTCCTTTCCACTTTTTGGTTTATCATCTTTTTCCCTGTGTTTTCCCTTGGTGTTATGTTGCTCAATTTATATTCGTTGGTTGTACAGTTAACTACCAGGTAAGAGTTTTTTTATGCTATATTCTCAGATTATCAGTGTAATTTATATTTGAGATTGTCTTGGGTTTTAATTTCAATTTTATTTTATTTTTGTTGGATGCTTCTTTCAATGAAAGATTTAACTTGCTTTACCTGATAATTTTAGGTTACCTTTGCTTATAATTTTGAGCTACTTTGGTAATTAGGTCCTCAAACATCTACGAAAACACTCATAAGTTTTTCATTTTGGTGACTGATGGAAATGCAAAATGAAATGAATGAATAGAATAATGAAAATTGTTCTAATCAGTTCCACTCTAGCGTTACTTCAATAAAATAAAAATATTGAATTTTTTTCCCTTCGTGTGCCTCCAAATTAACATTCCTACCTTAAATCATAGTCATGCTTTAAGAATATTTATGCTCCAAATTATTTGTTAAATTCTTTCCAAAATAGGATCTTTGCATATATTCAATTTATGGGTGTTGTGATTCTTTACGATCCCAATTATTTATTAAATTCTCTCTAAAATAGAATCTTTGTGTATATTCAATTTATCGGTGTTGTGATTCTTTACGATGTCTCTGGTGTTGCACTATATATAGATTAGTAAAGTGATCAGAGTATCAATGAATCCTCAACAAACAAGAAATCGTCCTGGCAACGCAACAGAATTTTACAAATTGTTTGCGACTTCACTAACGCCGTGTGTGTTGGATCGTGTGTGTATCCTGGGAGGAGGTTTTCAAACTACAAAAGTTTCCAGTAAGGGACTTGAGTTGGACATTGATTTCTGCTTCTTTTGATATTTCTGTCAATTTCAGCTTCATCTTTTTATCTGTTTTAGTTTTAAGGGGTCGGTTGGTTATGGTTCGTTCGTTCGTTTGTCCATTGGTTGGCTGGTAGAGTTCTGCAGGGTCATTTGGTTGGGAACAAGTTATCCCAAGATTTAGCTATCATGTGATAACTTATTCCACCAGTATATTGAATAACTTATTCCATCACTATGATATAAATGGTGGGAAAAGTTATCTTAAACATGACAACCAAACAAGATACAAATATTTTATCCTATCACTATTTCCGTATCCCATCACTATTTATTTTTATCTCTCACACCAAACGAAACCCTAAAGTATAATGGTCATTTGCTAGACAATTAGTTCGTCCTGTGTTGTGTGTTGAAGAGCTGCAAACCAATTTAGTAATGTATCTCTTGCATCTCTGATTTACACGGACAATTCTAGCTTAAGAAATTATCAACTTTTCTTTATTTTTTATTTTGAATGACTCATATAACTTCAGTATATTTGTTAATGATGCTGTCGGAATGTATTAAATTCAGTGATACAAAAAGGGATGTCGTGAGATACATGAAGAATCTGTTCGACAAAATTTGAAGGTTCACATGCTATTATTTGTCAGCTTGATACTTCTTTGACTTTTCATTATTTGCAGGACAAGATCCATGTTTAGTCCTGAATCTGGTTCATATCTTTAATTTCTTTTTGTTTCATTTGGGTATCACTGCCTGTGACCAAGCTATATTTTTTTAACCCCAATGCATTTATATTTTATCTAGCAGTACACTATGGGAGTGGGATGGAGAGTAAGTTGTTCGGAGGTACTAGGGGGTGGGATGGTCGAACATGCGGATTGAGTGGGTGTGGAGACAATAAACTTGGAATGTTGCCGATAACCATTCTCTTATTTCAGGCTTTGGGTACTGGATTTACACAATTTGCTCAACCAGTATTCCAAAGGTGCATTACCAAAACATTCCTTCAAGTCACCTGGTTCAACAATATTTTGTATTTTTATTGCTTCATCTAATATATTCTTTATTCATGTAGCATACCTCACATTTTTTGCAAGAAAAGAGGCATGAAAATTTATATGAAGTCAATGACTTCATAGCATGCCCTTCTATTTGATACTACTGGTTTGGGTAAAGAATAATACCAAAGATTACCTCCTTGTGTACATCGTTGGCTAAAGTATGTACTTATATCAGATTTATTGGTCGGTATTTCTATGTTCTCTATACATGTAAAAAATAAAGTTGTATCTTAATCCCAATGGGTCATTTCCAAATGTCATTCCAATTGAAAATTAGAAATCCTGTGGTGGCTGCATTTTATATTTCTATTTCTTCATTTTATACATTAAATCTCACTTTTGATCGTTTTACATTTTGTCACTACTAATTTCATCTGTAATACAAATGCACAATAAAACAAATCTATTAACTTTGCTCATGTTGTTTGCCCGGCCATTTTTACTAGTATATACATATAGCAAGAAATTATACTTGCCACACATACTATTCAGTCCAAAATATTACACACCATGAAAGTGTTAGCAATAACACTATGGTTTCTCTTGTTTTTTATTCGTTTGTGTAGGGATTTGTAGAGACAATGAACAACGAGCGTTGGAGAGCTTGAAGAAAGAAGTAGATGATCCCTTGGATATTCCCTCTTCTTGGGTTGTCGGAAAAGATTGTTGTGAATGGGAAGGAGTTGTGTGCAACAATCTAACTCGTTGTGTGATTGAACTACACATAAGTTATCTAAGGATCAATAACCTAGAGTGGTTGTCAAGTCTTTTGAGTCTTGAGAACCTGGAAATGTATCATGTAGATCTCTGCGAAGCAACTAACTGGCTACATGTTATTAACATGCTTCCTTCTTTGGTTGATCTTTCTAGTTCTAGGTTTAATTCACCTATTCCCAAATGGGTTTCAACCTTTCCAATCTTGTTTCTCTTAATTTGAGTGATTGTAATTTTACTGGCCCATTTCCCAGTTAACTTGACTTCTCTCACAACCTTCTAGGCTTTTGAAAACTCTTTCAATTGTCTTTTACCTGAATGGTTTTTTGATTTAAGTAATCTAGAACATCTTAACCTCCGTTCTAGTGGTATTAAAGGTGCAATACCAAATAAGAGTGGAAACATAACAACACTTAAATAGTTCGATCTTTATGATAATAACCTTAACTCCACCATACCAAATTGGCTCTATCGATGCAAAGATCTAGAATCACTTTACCTTAGTGAAAGCCGTCTTGAGGGAGCAGTTTCAAGTCTGATTTCAAATTTGAGCTCAATAACTAATATTGACATATCTGGTAATATGCTTACTGGAAAGTTACCAAATGTAATTGGAATTTTAGGGAAATTAGAATTTCTTTCTCTTTCAAAAAATCAATTTGAGGGACAAGTATCTGAATTATTCAAAGGTAGGAGTAACTTCTTTTCAATGGGATTGGGAGATACGTCTTCATTAATGGAACTGAGACTAGATGGTAATAAACTTACTGGAAATTCAATACTAACAATAAGTTGGAAGGTGTTGTAACAGAAAGTCATTTCAAACATAACTTCAATTTTCATAATCTTTTCGTGAAAGAAGATATTATTCTATTATATATAAGTATATACTTTTCTTTTTAACTCTTTTAAACCCTTATTTTGTAATTCTTAATTTTTCCATTTCATTTTTTAAAATCAACATTTCTTTGCCCTTTTGCAGCGAATAAAGGCAATTTTTTTGGGAATGACTGATAGGATACCTTTTATATTTAGTTACATATCCAAATTTTAACTTTAACTTCAAATCAATCTGATTTCAAATCAAATTCAAATGGGACCTTAATAGTGTTGTGGAATGTGGAGAAGACTTGTTGGAGTCTTCTTGACTTAATACATACAATTTAAGAGGAAGAAGAAAAAAAACTCTTTAAAATCAACAAGTCTTCGAGTCAAACAACCAATAATGAAGCATTCAAACAAGTGATTATTAATTAGTTGATATTATAATTATTTTAAAATTAATAAAATTATCTAGAATTGAGGAAGATATACCTAGAATTTAGATACATGTATTTTTGTTACTAGATACATTGAAATAGGAAGAGAGGCAAGCGAAATGGGGAGGGAGGTGAGTCAGATAATAATTTATCCCAGATACATGCGAACCATACTAGGTACACACTAGATACATGCATTTGTATGTAACTGGTGTGATCCACATGAATCTGGGGTACCCGATACATAGGAGAGTGACGAGCGAGATGGAAGGGAGGCGGGAGAGATTTGTCTATGTATCCTAGATCGATACATGCAAATTCAATTGGATACGATGTATCTAGAATAAATTACGCTTAATTTTGATTGCATGTATCTCGAAAAACATGTATTTGAACATATCTAAATATATCTGGATGCACTAAAATCTTATAGGATTCGCAATATTACATATTAGAATGTATCTGAATAATTAATTCCTAAATTAGTGAAATTTATGTAAGTTTTAAAAAAAATTAATACATATAAAATGAAGATATAGGAAGTAATAACTAGTCAAATTACGAACAAAATTTCCATTCTGACAAGTCAATTGTGCGTGAAAGAAGGACAACTTGGAAACATATGAGAGGGATCGATGTGCTTAGAAACTACGTGGAAAGACTGTACCGTGGATTATTAATGGAATATTTTCATATAGATACAAAAATTGAATTATTTTACTATTAGCATGTCTTTGTCAACATGTCTGCTTCTTCGATAAGAATAATTTGATCATTTAAAGAAGTGGCTAGAAGTAGCTAGGCATTCCTTCGTCGACGTGTTTGCTTCTAGCTGAGGGTAATTGTGGAGTTTCTGTGTTTTTTTTTTTGTTTTAATTTGTTTGTCTTACTTTTCCTTTTTAGTTAGTATATATTTGAAAATTACCTAAAAATATTATAAATCACAACAATTAACAAATTAAAATATTAAAAAGATTGATAAAATTCAAGTGACTCTCGAAATTCTGTCGGTGCCACATAAAAGGTAACTTGAAGTTGAATTCTGAATATTTTTGAGATTTGAAAAGCCTATCTTCAATAAGTTGTTTTTCCAAATTTTCACTCCAAATCACTCACAAAAATTCAAAAACAACTCAATTTATTGTTCATATCCAAACATAACTTCAATTTTCATTTTAAAAAATAATAATATTTTTTTTCCTTTTTGGCAACTTTAAAAAAAAAAATTTCGCATGACATGTTTAAGATTATTAGATTGTCGACTTCAATTTTTATAGCAATTTTTGAACTATGATTTGCTCATTTAGTAAAATAATATAAGTGTTAATTTTTTTTTATATATAATTTTCACAACCTGTAAAATTTTCATGTTATTGACTAAAAGATACAACTTAATTAAGAAATTTGAGTTTCATATCCAAACTTCAACTTTAACTTCAAATCATGATTTCAAATCAAATTCAAATGTGACCTTAATAGTGTTGTGGAATGTGGAGGAGACTTGTTGGAGTCTTCTTGACTTAATTAATTAATACATACAATTATGAGGAAGAAAAAAAAAACTCTTTAAAATCAACAAGTCTTCGAGTCAAACAACCAATAATGAATCATTCAAACATCTGATTATTAATTAGTTGATATTATAATTATTTTAAAAACAATAAAATTATCTAATTAACCTTGTTTATGAAAGAGATTATTATAAAATTATAAAACATGTTGATCCATGGGCTTACGCCTCACCCCGTACTGTATAAAAAGCTCACCTCATGCCCCGCCTTTTAAAACACTGCATTTGTTGTTTATAACTTTTTAAGAAAAGTCCTCTTTTATCAGCAAGACAACTTCATCAACGTGAGCATGCATGCAGTGGCGGATGTATGTTATGAATTATGGGTGCTTAAGCATCTATTGCTTTTTGCAATAAACACTAATATTTGTTTGTAATATCTAATAATTTATTCAAATGTATTATCTAATAATTTATCTAATAATGTATTAACTAAGCACCCACTTTATATAGCAATTCTCAAACTAAAAATAATTGAGCACCCATGAAATAAAATTTCTGGATCCACCATTGCATGCATGGCCCAAACAGGGACAATTGATAAAGTTGTAGAGAAGACTTGTTGACTTAATTAATATATACAATTTCAAAGAAAAAAAAAATATAAGCAAATACTTTTCACTTGCTAGTCTAAAACATTACACACCATGAAAGTGTTAACAATAACACTATGGGTTCTCTTGTTTTTTATTTTGAAAAATACCAAGTTTGTCATTTGTGTAGGGATTTGTAGAGAAAACGAGCAACGAGCATTGGAGACCTTGAAGAAAGAAATACACGATCCATCGGATATTCCATCTTCTTGGATTGTCGGAAAAGATTGTTGTGAATGGGAAGGGGTCGTGTGCAACAATCTATCTCGTCATGTGATTGAACTACATCTAGGTTATGTAACTCGTCATGAAGAGATTGGGCGAGGTATGTTTTTTGATAGGCTCGAGTTTACTTATCCAAGGATAAATAGCCTTGAGTGGCTGCCAAGTCTTTCGAGTCTTGAGAACCTACAGATGGTAAGTGTTGATCTTAGCAAAGTTAATGAATGGCTACAGGTTATTAACATGCTTCCTTCTCTTGTTGATCTTCGTTTATCCAGTTGTAGTCTTCATCATATAACACCTCTACTTGATCATCACAATTTTTCTTCACTCAAATTTCTTGATCTTTCTTTCAATTACAAATTAAGCTCTTCTGTTCCGAAATGGGTTTTCAACCTCCCAAATCTCATTTTTCTTGACCTGAGTTACTGTAATTTTACTAGCCCATTTCCTGATGGTCCAGTTAACTTGACTTCTCTCACAACCTTCAAGGCTTCTGGAAACTTTTTCAATTGTCGTTTACCCAAATGGTTGTTTGATTTTAATAATCTTGAACATCTTGAGCTTTCTAGTAATATGCTTTCTGGAAAGTTACCAAATGTAATTGGAAAGTTAGGGAAATTAGAATACCTTGATCTCTCATATAATCAATTTGAGGGAGATATTCCTATAAGTGTAACACGTCTTGCAGGATTAAGATCATTTAATCTTTCCAAAAATAACCTAACTGGTAGGATTCCAAATGACATTGGTGACATGAAAGTCTTGAAAACTGTTGATCTTTCAGAAAATCAACTTTATGGTCAAATCCCACAAAGCTTTTCGAGTTTGCCCACTTTGAGCTACTTGAATCTATCTGATAACAATTTGTCAGGTATGATACCAGTGAGCACTCAACTTCAAAGCTTTGATTCCACGAGTTTTCAAGGAAACAAACTCTGCGGACTTCCACTCTTGGTGAACTGCAGTTCGGATGGTAATATTCCAAATAACAAGCATGAAGATGATGAGAGTGACAAAGATGAAGTAGATTGGTTTTACATTTCAATGGCTATAGGATTTGCACTAAGCTTTTGGGGTGTTTGTGGTTCATTGTTTTTAAGAGGTCATGGAGACATGCTTATTTTCGTTTGTATGCTTACATTTCTCATGTTAGCAATCATGTTGTTTCATTGTATATTCAAATGAATGTTTCTTAAGATGTTCAAACAATGTTGTTTCTTTCATAGTTCCAATTTTCTTTTTTCAATCACAGAGTTGTGAGACATATGTTAATTTCTTTATTTATAATTTTTTAAGTACTTCATATAAAAAGTTCTGTACTATAACTATATAAATAATACATCAAACTAAAAAAAATATCATTTTGAAATTTTTTGACATGACATCATATCGGTCAAAGTTTAATTGAGAACGCCAAAATGGTCCAAATCAACTTATTGATCCATCTAATAAACTTAAGCGAGTTGGGCCGATCATGTCTTTATATGCAAACTTCAAAGTAACAAAAGCTAGCAAGGCAAAGTTCTCTCCTTTGGCTGGACAGAGTACTTCACTTGCTGTCCTTAAATTCCGTGGCGGGCGCGCCAACCCGCCCCACACTCACCCTTGTGCAACCAAGCTATTATTCATGATCGAAGGAAGCCTCGAGGTTGACTTAGTGGACACTACTAAGAAGCTCTATATATATACTCAAACTCTACAAATTGGTGACATGTTTGTGTTTCAAAAAGAACTAGTGCATTATCGGTACAATGGATGATCAGATTCGGGCTAAGTCATTCAAGACTGATGTTGCAACCATTCATAAGATCAAGGCTGATCTCTCATCCTTTTGATCGTAATCCAGTTTAACGATGGATTAACAACGAATTATCAACAAATATTTTTAGCTAGATGCGATTTAGCAATAGATTTGCAATAAAATGGCATACCTAATTCTCTTCTTTTTTGTGTGTAGTGCTTGTCCATAAATTATTCTAGCTAGTGGTATTAAATTACTCTCTTTTGTCTCAATTTATGCGACAAATCTGAATTTTGCAATTCTAAATGTTTTCTTTAACCATAACTTTTGCATATATCTTTTTTGAATTATTAAATATTGTGACTTATAGTACTTTTTATGTAGTTTTCATATACGTAAATTTTACTTTTAAGAAATTGAAATTTTCATATCCAAATTCACTATTAAAATTAAAAAAAATTAACTCTCGAAATCCAAATAAAAAAGGTGAGTCATTCTAGGAATTGTCTTGTCTTGGAAAGAGACAACAACTTTGCACAACATATCGCAAGGTGTGTTTGGTATGTGTTCGTTTTTTCATGTTTAAAAAAATATTTTTTCTCAAAATAAGTTTCTTTTGTTTTGAAAAACATTTCTCGTTCACACTTTAAAAACTCCAAAAAAAAAACTTATTTCAATAAGAATAAATCAAATTACAAAAAAGAATAAAAAATACACAAAAGAAAAAGAGTACAACAATACTCAAATTTCAAATGCCAAAGAATCAATTAAGGAAAGGTCCTCTACCCCCCCCCCCCAATACAAAAAATGAAACAAAAAAAAACTTATACAATAAGCAAATAAATTATTAACAAAAAAAATAGACTTTTTTCTAATTGAGCCCTCCAAAAATAAATGGCTTCTTATTAACAACCCTACATGATTTCCTCACTTCTCCTTGACCATCAATTAATACTTCAACTCTACCCAATTTCACCATGGCCTCACCAAACTTAGTGTAAAAATCAGGATCATTAACAATATCATCCACAATATTCTTTGTCAATTCATCCAATGCTATTTGTTGATCAATTTGAAGAACCCCATTTCCCTTTTTAATTTCTTGAAATTATGAATTATCTACCAAAGATGGAGTCTTCACATCAAGAGGATAAGTGTTATCAAATATTAATGAAATTCTAGGACATTTATCCTTTAATTCAGCCAATAGCCATGGGCTCATGCTTGGATCAGGACCACCAGTTTTATTGAAGTTGTATATTCTATCTTTGAAGAGTGAGCAACGAGCAATTCCAACAGTGTGTCCACCTAGAATAAAAAATAAACAAGTAGTTAACGGTCAATGAAATGAGATGAAAATCATCAGAGTTCAAATTTAATTTAGTACGTGATTTCTTTCAAACTGGCTAAGTTTTGATGGTCAAAGTTATTCAGTGACCATGTTTGTTAATGGTTACGAGGTAGCATGTACTCATCATAGGGTAGATTCACCTAACAGAGTTATGGATACATCAAAACTCAATAAATAATTCTGGGTCGAACTTTGTATTTGTATTTAAAAGTTTATTTAATATTTATAATTAATTTATCTAAAATGCACTAAGCAAAGAAGAGTATGGCTTAAAACTCTAGGTGCACGCAAGCTAGTTTGAGTTCCATTGTCATAAAAAGAAAATCTAGAATAAGATAAAGGTTGTAAAATAAAAACGTTAAAAAGGATAGCATCCAAAGGTATGTCCTAATAGGCAATATAATGAGATGTGAACCATAGATCGACCGTTGCTCAAATCTTACTAAAAGTTTTAAAAAAAAAATGTGTTAGGTAATTTCTTTGATTGTATATTCACCGTGGTGGGAGATAGTATGTACATGATAAATAGTCGAGGACTCGAGGTGCACACATGCTACTGGACATCGTCCCAATAAAATGAAGGATTGTAAAAATGTGAAATTACCTAGAAGATAAACCATGTCATATTGGGTAAGATTTTTGCTTGCAAAGAGTTTGATGGAATCAGAAACTGAAATTGTAGCAGCAGGAAGATTCACATTTGAAGCTAAGGAAACATCTCCATCCCTTCGTCCTGTTTCTACATCATACCATTTTCCTCCAGCCTATGCCATTTTATAATCAAAACTAACACAAATTAGGATGCATGTATTTATATGTCATAAATAATATAATTTAAACATCTCATCGTATTAAGATCACGAGTTTCGGGAATCTTTAGTTTTTTCTTAACTCCAAGACCAATCAAATAAGTCATGAAAAAAATCGTTACTTTTTAGTTTGACTGGGCATGGAGTTTAAGAAATTAAATGAGACGTTTGAATCTTGTCATCTTAGATTAATGATGTGTGTAGTCCATTTAAATCTTGTGATCTTAAACTTGTCATGTAAAATATTGAAACTGAAAAACTTACTAAATATAGAAAGAGATACTCTTTTCGAGACAGATAAAAAGGAAATATATACTATCAAGTATCAATGCTACCATTGAAGAAATAGAGAAAATTACTAATTAATCCCACCCATGTTTTAAACGAATGTTCATTTCAAATCTAGTCGAAGGTCTTCGAGCCTTGTTGAGAACTATAGTTTAAAAAAAGGAAGAAAAAAAGTGACCCCAATTCCTTCTCAACCTAGGTCAAAGGTCTTCTCGTCCTTTTTGGAATAGAATCAAGTTTGTTACGATTAGCAAATCAGCCTCACATCATATCGATAGCGATCAAAGGACTTAGTTATATAGTAGTAACATAGAAAATCTCAAATGATAAATCGAAGTGATAATGATGAAATAAAATGTAAAATTTACCAAGACAACAGCATCTCTAGTTGCCATAGAAATAATGTCAGCACAAGAAACTAGACCTTGACATTCTGCTTCTAAAGCTTCTTTAATAGCATCAATGAGTCCAAATCCCCTAACACTTGAATTTGGGACTGCTTTTCTCTCACTGGTGAGTCCATCCAATAGAATAGATGCATCACAACCCTATTCATCATGTACATATAGCAAAAATATTATTCAATGATAATAGAAAATTGTACCATAAATATTTCATAAAGAACATTCTTTTTTTCATAATACCAAAATTTTATGGAATTGGTTCATGAGCAAAATAAGAAAAGTCAAAAGGAAATTATCATAAAATTTTCATTTTACCCTTTATAACATGATTTTATGGGCACAAAAATATAGAGAAAAGGCTTAAAATAGTGTCCTATTTTTTAGTTTAGACTCTATGTTATCCTTATTTTTTTAAGTGGAACACTAATAATACTTCATGTTTATAGTATTGGCGCAGTTCTGATCCACCCTCAAACTTGTCTTTACTTTTTGAGATCGAAAGGCTCATTATGTAAGATTTCATGTGCAACAGTACAAATAAAGGTAGATTCTTGATTTAATTAGCTATAATGATGTTTGGACTAAAAAAGATAGGATTTAGCAATGGACAAGTTTTATATACCTAAACAACAAAATCTATCGCTACTCTTATTCAACAATCGATTTATGTTAGCTACAAGTGAATTAGTGACGAAGTTCGCAGCTAAATCCAATTTTCTTAATAGAACACTCTTTTTCTCATCTTCTCTTATTGAGTTATTGTTTCTACTAAATATAGAGGAACACATTGAACATTCCATACTCTAAATTGTGGACAAACTAATGTTAAAAATAGACGAAAGTTGCAGAGGACCAAAGGTGCATCAATACTGCAAACATGAGGGACAATTAGTGTTCCACATGAAAAAATAAGAATGACTTTAAGTCTTAACCAAGAATAAAGGTCTATTTTGGGCCTTTTCACCACAAAAATATCATTATATGTTTAAAACCACACATTCCAATATTCTCTCCTTTATTAAAACTTTTGGGTCAAGTTAAATAGCTTCATCACATAAAATGACACGAAAAGAGTAGTGAATATAGTGGTTCGCCTGCATATTCATGGTAAAAAAATTATGTATCCGCCACTGCTACTGAATTTGACACTAAAGATGAAAGAAGTAGAAAATGCAAGAGTTGTATATGTAAGTTTCTTACCTTAACAAAGCAATCATGGAAATGCATACGTAGAAGAGCAGCTGCAATATCCTTTTCCTTCTCTTCAAAATGCCATGTTTCTACAACATTTTGGACAACACCTTCAACATTTGTCTTACCACATTTTCCTTCATAGAATCCAACTCTAAGTTCCCCATAGCATTTTCCACAAAATAACACAAAAAATAACACCACCACAAGAGCCAATGCTTTAGACATTTTAATTTGACAAATATAATGTGGTTGAAAGAGACACTTTTTATCCAATTTATAGTATTTTGCTAAGATAATAATGAAGTATGACATGTAAAATGTGTATGCTTTGCACGACCATTTCTTAGGGATTGTGACAATAACGTGCCATCAAGTTCTTGAAGTTTATTTATATTATACTATAGTCAAAGCATGTGGCTTAAAAATAGTGTTAATTAATAGTATCAAAGATCACAAGAAGATTCATAAGGAGCCAAGATGATACAAAATATGAAAAAGTAACTACACGATGTTGAAGAAATTCAACATCTATTATATTACATAAAACATAATTTTAATCATATAGAAGCAAGATAATTTTATATCTAAAGGTATTTGGATGAGCCCCTCAGCTATACTTAGCTCTGCTCTTGTAGATATACTCCCATGTCAATTACTTGGAAAAAATATATGCAATTTTACACTCCTTTTTTTTATTCTTTTGTCTTATTTTCTTTTTTATTCAAAATTACAATTAGTTATGAAGATCCAATATTAATATTGCATTATAAATAAATAATAACAAAGGTAATAAGTAGTTATTCTTTAATAGAATCTTCTCACATTTACGAACAATCTCTTCACTTTAAATTAGCATTCATTTTCATATCAGAATGAAACAACATTGTTACTATGTGGGGTTGGGTAGATAAAATTATAATTGAAGTCATAATTGATAATTACTTTTTTTTAGTAACTTTTGTCTTTTATTTAATTTTCTCTAGTTTTTTGGTTTCTTTTTCCTTTTCTTTTTGGCGAAATGGTCTGATGGACCCTTGTATTTGTATGCGTTAGTATTCTGGACCTTTCTACTAAATTCCTTGTCAACTAAACTCATAAACTCAATGAAATTCAACATAATAAACCCCTTTGATCATTGACCAAGCTTATGTGGAAACTTAATTGTTGAGTTGGAACAAATGCGTGATTTCACGCATAAAAGAGCGTAACACAAAGATTTAGATAAAAAATAATTAAAAGAAAAATAAAAATACAATAAAAGGACCCAAAAAAAAAAAGATTGAAAATTAATTTTTCACTTCTATCTTCTTTCCCCCACCCCCTTTCCATTTCTTTTTCTCTTTCGTTTTTCCCCATCCAGTCCCCCTTCCCCATAGCTCTTCACTATCTTCTTTTCTCTTATGTTCTTCCTCACTCAGTTCTCCTTCTTCACAGCTCTCCACTTTCTTATTTTCTTTTCTTTTTTACTTTTTCTTCCTTCCCAAATTAGGAACGAAATTATGCTACAATTTGTGAGGGAACAGATCTAATAGTTTTTGTGGATAAAAGTAATTGTTAAATGTTTTTTTATGAGGTGGAGTGGATTGTGTAAAGTTATATATAAATATTAAGATATATTGAGGTATTTTAGTGGTAAATGTTAACATAATGTCGAAAAGTGGTTTATGATATTTAAGTGATGGACGAAGTGGTAAAAAAATTGTGACTGAAAGTTGTGAATGCTTAAAATATAGAGAAGAATGGTGATTTTTAGTGATATTGATGGTTAGGATGAAAGGTTGTGATGGTGAGATCTAATGTAAAAAACGGAGTGAGGGGTGGTCAAGAAGAATGGGGAGGAATGGAGTGAAAAAGAAGAAAAATTGTTTTTTTTTAAATAAATAAATAATAAATGACATGTAATTTTAAATCAAATGTGGATGATGATGTGTCATTTTGTTGAGAATTTGAAGTACACGCAGAGCCAAGGGGGTTTTAAATGCTAAGTTACATTGAATTTAAGGGTTCAATTGACAAAGAGTTAAGTAAAAGGGTTCAGAATACAAATGCATATAAGGACAAGGGTCTATTAGATCATTTTGGCTTTCTTTTTTTCTTTTTTTTTTCCCTCTCTTTCTTCACTCAAAAACAACCACCCACATGTAACCACCCACCTGTACACTTCCTCCATTACCATTGTTGAACCACCACTACCATAACAATTCATCTCTCCACCCATCTTCTAATACTTTCTCATAATTTGTCTCACTATTACTCACAATTATTAACACTGCAAATCACCATCAAAATCACCAAATAAGCATTAAAACTATTATTCATGTAGTGAAAAAAATTAAATCGCCATTAATCTCCTTACTCTAATAAAATTCTTCAACCTTCAGATCTTATCTATAGTCTCTATTATTGTTCGATGAAGAATTTAATCTATACTCAATAAGAATTTTACGAACTTGAGCAGCAACCACATGTTGATTATGTTCAACCCTAATAATCTAGTGCTTTCCTCAAGTGTAGAAGGCATAAATCCTTCACTATTGAAAGAAGAAATCAAAAGGGCGTATTTATACCCAAGTCTAAGACAATTAATGATAATTTTGAACTTAAAATAGGTGCCCAGATTGCGTAATTTGGGTGTGCGAGGTGAAGGGGGTGATCCAAATGGATGATAAAATTGTGGTGGTGGTGATGGTGGTACTGCTGATAAATATTGTTGATTTCTTTACCTAAAAGAGGGATGATAAGTGTTGATATGATTCTTGGATTGAGATATGATTTGTGAATTATGGAAGGTGAGGGTGGGGGTGGGGTGACTAGGGAGGAATGGGGGTGGAGAGAGATAAAGCCTAAAAGTTTAGGGGAGTTCATAGTGAAATAAATTAAAACATGTCTCAACACTATGGAGAAGTGAAGAGTAAATACAATGTTGGCGATGAAGAACAACAGTTACCTTGATATATCAGATATTTCACAGCTGGTAGCGCATGTATACTACATGTGAAGAATGTGCTTATCTAGTTTTAAGGTGGTATATATTCTGCTTTAAAATAGTTCAAGGGGGTAATAGAATTTCCGTAAAATATAAGTATGTAGTTGAGAATTTGGTTATAAGTTGAGGGGGGTAACTATTCGGTTATAGTTGAGAATTCGATTCAAAGAAATACTAAGTAATTTAAAGAAATACCATGCACAAAGTAATTTATTGTATTAAGATGTATTGTGTAAATTTAACCACATATTTTTTAATGTATGCTCTTTAAAATGCTTCTCAATACTGGCTTCTTTTCTACATTTCTGAATTTGATAGATACTATTATTTGTCTTTTAGTCCAACCAAAAAGAAATTGAGAGAGAAGTAAAATGGCATGATGATAGAAAAGTATAAAAAGTAGAAAAGAAGGGCATTCCCCTTTTGTTTCATTGATCTGAAAAATAGTTTTAAGAATCAATCAAATTACAACATAAAAAAAAAAGAATTCATAGAAGAAAAACAATACTCAAATTTCAAATGCCAAAGAATCAAGAAAGGAAGAGTTTCCTTGAATCACCTCCTCCCACACCAACTCAAGACAAAAATAAAATTTAATACAATAAGTAAATAAACTATCAATAATCTAGATTGTCCAGACTCTTCAAAAATACTGCTAGGGGCATGTCGTAATTTCTTATGACTTTGTATGCGACAACATTTTTGGAGTGTCCGAACAACATAGATAATTAATAAGTTAACAAAAAGTACTTGTGCTAATTGAACAACCCAAAGAAGAATGGCTTCTTATTCACAACCCTACATGATGTCCTCACTTCTCCTTGTCCATCAGTTAGTACTTCAACTCTACCCAATTTCACCATGGCTTCTCCAAACTTAGCGTAAAAATTAGGGTCCTTGACAATATCACCCACAATTTTCTTTGTCAATCCATCCAATGCTAGTTGTTGATCAATTTTAAGAATCCCATTTCCCTTTTGAATTTCTTGAAAAAATGAGTTATCTACAAATGATGGAGTCCTCATATCAAGAGGAATCTCGTTGTCAAAGGATGGAACTCTAGGACACTTCTTTATTAACTCAGAAAATAGCCAATTGCTCATGGTTGGATCACGAACACCTGTATTACTGAAGTTGTATATCCTATCTTGAATGAGTGAGCAATGAGTTTTTCCAACAGTGTGGCCACCTAGAAATATTGAAAATCCATTCACATTAATTGTATGAAAATAAAGAAGTAACCGTTAATAAAATGAGTTGAAAATCATCAGATATCAGAGTTCAAATTTCAGTGACCTAAGTCTTGATGGCTAAAGTTATACAGTGACCATGTTGGTTATGAGGTAGCATGTACTAGCGGAGTAGAGTCACCAATTATAGAGTTACAATTTCGGTAGAACCAATTATTTGTTTTGGCTTGAGCCTTGTATTTGTGTTTAGAAAATAATTTAATATGTATAAGTAATTTATCCAAAATGTAAAAAAGATTCTGGTTAAATGAGGTGTAAACCATAGAGACAATTGTTCAAATATATTAGTTAGGTGATTTCTTTTATCTGTTTAAAATTCATTGAATAGAGTCACTTGATATTTCCTAAGGAATGCTTTTATATAATGCATTTGTTCGTACCGAACTATTCTAGTGAAAGGTAATATGTGCATGATAAAATAATTGAAATGTGCACAAATTACTGAATATCATCGCAATAAAAAGAAAATATATAGAATAAAAAGAGAATTGTGAAACAAAAGGGTTATTTTTCCTTACTAAAATGCACAAAGATCACTTCTTTTTTTATTTAATCAAAATGGACAAGTTACTTGACTTTGATCGACTTATCGTTAATTTAAACTCGAATTCACAAAATGGGAAATTACCTAGAAGATAAACCATGTCTATTGGAGAAAGATTTTTCTTGCCAAAGACTTTGATGGAATCTGAGACTGAAATTGATGGAGAAGGAAGATTCACATTTGATGCTAAGGAAACTTTCCCATCCTTTCTACCTGTTTCTACCTTGTACCATTTTCCTCCACTCTGTCACATTTTATAATAAAAAATAATACAAATTAGAGTGCATATCACAAAAGATAAAATCTCTAATTTATTTGAAAATAATATAATTTAAACTTCTCTTTTTACCCTTACTAACAAGTTTCTACAACTACAAAAATATTATGAATTGTTTAACATGAGTTTCAAAAGCATTATATTCACACAAATATTACGTTATACTCA